GTTACAGTTCAAGCATCAGTTAGGCTTTAATTACGAGTTTGTAATTTTTTTGGATTTATAGAATTTGATTTAATAAAGTTTAACTTCAAAATCATGACCCCACATCATTTAATCAATGATTAATTTGTAAGAGCTTTAAGTTTGTTAGAAGAAGGAAATACAATGTGTTATGTGGCTAATTTGTTGGTCGTTAATCAGGCGACAGTAATTCGAATGGTATATAAGAAGCTTCGGACACCGAAATATACTTTAGAAGATATGGTTAAAGTAGAGAACGGCTCACAATACGAAAGATTATCGTTTTTTTTTTGCTTTGCTTCAAGCAGTCAAAAATGTTAAGAGTTTCTATTTTTACTGCAATGAGAAGGTTGCGGAAAATAAAAGTAGGAGGCCTGCAATTGCACCATTATTTATCCCAACACGCAGAATACAACGTTTAAGATTTACCAGAAATAATGCAGATTGCACAGGTGAAGAAAAGCGAATTTTGACCAAAGTCTGAACACCTGCCAGTGCTAAGTCGCAGTAAGATTTGTCTGGGTATAGAGAGGCGACTGTTCTGTCGTTCTTTACCGCGTTGCCACTATATGTATGCGTTGCAGCATAGTAAACAATGCCAATACGCTTCCCGGGTAATGTAGAGTCGTTCAACTAGAGAGAGAATCTGTAAGAAATTGCATAAAATGTTTTCCACGTCTCGACCCATCTCGTCTATTCGTCTCTAAACGGTGTTGTTGCTCAAAGTAATTCTCTTTATAATATCATGTGCGGGCTTGTGCTATACATTGTTGAGGACTTCCGCAATGGCTGGCAAAATAAGCTGCTCTCCAATTGAGTAGGGTTTGTAAAAATATATTATAAGACGCTCGTAAACCATCAATGTCTTGGATAAATAATAACGCAAACATGGATCTTATGAATGGCTTTTTCTCTAGTTTTTCTTTAAGTGCTTGAAAGAATGACAAGGGCTTACTTTTTTGTTACTATGTACTCTTGATAAGTAGTCCTGCATTTTTGAAGGATTCAAGCATCGTTACTGATTACTTTTTCAAATATGAGACACATCGGCAAGTGTTGATTTGATAGTGATGGAATAAGTCCAAACTTAAAGTAGTCCAATCTGTATTGTCTGCATTTTTTTTTTTTTTCGTATCTGCTGTCATAAAACTCGCAGTAAACTTAGTAGACGAGTATATTATCATTTAAGCTCCAACGAATTTCAAAACGCAAATAAACTTTCAAACTAAGTGCAAGCTTGTTATATAGTAAAATATCAGGAGCATATTTGAACTTGAGCTTGATCTTGATTTCGTTCGTGTTAAATTGCGTATATGCTTCAAATACAGAGCAAGTCAGAACGTGCCTGAAAGACAACAATGACTAAAATATTATTCATTCTTATAACAAGTTGGTACACGTTACTCAACTTATACAGTATCTTGAAAGTATCATGTAAGAACTTGTGTTAATTAATAGGGGTCGATTTTTATGCCGATCTCTAACAAACCGATTTCAACCCCAAGGGGTCGGTATCGACCACCTTGGGGTTGAAATCCCTGTTCTAGTGCATTTCTAAATTATGTCTGAATGTTCGTCGTCTAAAATGCACACTGCGTTATTTTTACTTATTTTAATTCATACTTTACAACATGCAATGATATTTAAATATTAATGTGGGATAAGAAAATACTGTACTTCATATGTAAGAAAAGTGGATGTTGTTTCTACCCTCACATGAGTGAGGAAAGTTTTTATTGTAGAAAAAAAAATTTACGATAAACCATTGTAAAGTGTCACATCAAATTGCAATAAACTAAGTAGGTGTTTTGTATTTGAATGTTCCCATAGCAACTACAGAGTTTGAATATTGAAATATCAAATTATCTATTTTGATCCATTTAAATTTTATTGGAATTAGACAATAAAACCGAAGTCCAAGTTGAACCGCTGATAACAAACTTTTTTTGTAACTTTGATCTGAAGCAAACCGATTCCTCATTGCGGTCCTGGCAAATATTAATATTATCATAATTATAGTAGCAAACGGTTATGTGCGCTGCTGCAGCTTGTACTTGAACAGAGTGTAGGTGAGCATTAGATCAAGATCGAGGGGTCTTCAGATGAACTAAAATTTGCAGGAACGGCAGCTCTCCTGCAATGGTCCAAATGATCCAAATATGAATCTGGATATGCTGGATACATAGGATGTATGTATAGGTATGATTACGATAAAAAACAGTGAGTTAAGATACAGGGTTCAGCAAGGAGATATAATGATTTTGCATATTTATTTTTCATCGAAAAAGGTGTATATTAGGATCGAAAAGTAAGGACTCGCTTCAAGAGAGCATCTACTGTTATACTTATTCTACATATCACCTCTTTGTCCGACTCTGTAGAAGGCAATGTGGAGCATGTATAAGAATAAGTGATAGAAATACAAAGGTATTGTTTTTCAAAAATGCTGGCTTAAAAGTTAAGGGCAAAATTTTAAGTAATTGGTCTTTTCCTTCCATAATTTTTCCGACACTGGATTAAATGTAGATACATTATATTTTTTCTACGACCCACTAACGAAAATCTACAAATTTAAATAATTATTTTAGGTTATTAAGACAAAATAACTAATTTTAAAATAATTTATGAAATTTACCAATGTATAAAATTCGCTATTCGCGGAGAAGGCATATGCTCTGTCCTCACCTCCACCGCCACTTTTATGATTTTAATTTTATTACTTGTAATTCAATTAGTTTCATATAGTTTGATTAAAATTATTTTTTTTTAAATGTGGACCAAATAAAAATAAAACTGCTATTATTTATCGATTCCACACAAAAATAACTCATGTTAATGTATATTTAATCAGTGGTAGAGTCTCTGCCTGCGGATCCAAGGGTTCCAGGTTTAAATCCCATCGTTGGCCGGGATTTTTTATTTAATTTAATTATTTAAAATTAATTCTGATGCCTTGGTAGGATTCCACACTCGGCCATTTACTGTTGGGTTCTAATTAACAGTATTGTTCCTAAAGTGGCGCTGGGAAACAGTAACAAAGCCTACACAGAACACGCTGCGAGACAACCTTAGCACACACAAAAAAAAACAATTAGTTTGACAGAATTTACACTTATTTAAAATAATAGTAGTTGGGTGTTCAAAATATGAACTGTGATTGGTGGATTTCATTTGTTGGCAGTGTTCTGACTACCTAGAATGGATATGAAGTTTATTCGTTTAGTTGAACGCAATAGCATACTTTTTCGTTTTGTAATCTGTGCGTATAATAGCTAATATCCATGTGGGTGTAGAAAATAATATATTGTTTAACCAGCAAGAAATGGTACTAATTTCCCACGAGTATGATATTTACAGCTGTATTCTCTAAACTCTAAACCAAACCAGTACGAAGTGAACATCCCTTGCGAGTACAACACTATAGTTTTTCTACGGCTACACCACGCTGCTACCCATTTTAAATTAGTTTTTTAAAATGTATTGTTTTAAAGTGACAGCTCTAAATAATAATTGGAGATTTGAAATTTAAGGGCACAAATAATTAGGAAATGTCTACTTTGTGTTATCAAATAAGGATCTGATACAAAAATGATTACATTGCGTTATTAGAATTATCAAGTAAGAATATTTACCTTATTTTTTAACAAAACATAGTTGAGAAAGTAGTTTTGTGTTATTGCCGTAGAATAGTAGTTTGTGCAACAAGAGTGGATATGATGGCCATATCGCACGAAGACGAAAATTGTGTGATGTGGACAATCCACTCGAGTTGTACAGTATATTTTTTCTACGACCCACTAACGAAAATTTACAAATAAAATATTTTAGGTATTAAAACAAAATAACTAATTTTAAAATAATTTATGACTTTTAATAATTTTTAAAAATAAATAAACCAATAAAAAAATTTAATTTAACAGTCTCCAGCCGAGCCTCGTACTTGGGTTTCTCCCGTGGAAGGCAGATACTCTCACCACCCGTCTACCGGCAGATATGGGAAAAAATTTTATTACTCGTAATTAAATTGATTTCATAGTTTTATTAAAATTAACAAATTATAATTATAGTATAAATAAAAATAAAAATACTATTATTTATCGATTCTACACAAAAATAAGTAATTTTAATGTATTTAAGTTCAATTTAAGTAATTTAAGTTCAATAACTAAAAAATATACTGTCAATTAGTTTGACAGAATTGTCATTTATTTAAAATTTTAAAAATAATAGTCGTCTGGTGACCAAAATATGAACTGTGATTGATGATTTCATTATTTTGCAGTGTTCTCACTACATAGAATGGATATAAAATGTATTCGTTCAGTTAATGGCAAAAGTATACTTTTTAGTTCTGTAGTCTGTGCGTAGATAAGCTAATATCCATGAGGGTGTAGGAAAAAAAATGAATATTTAGGTATTGATTTTTTTGGTGCCGGGAATTTAAACTAGTCCGTTATTAGAACTAGAATCATTTATATGGAGGTTGTATTTTTAAAATAAATGTTTTCTTAATAGTTATATTTTTATTTTATATTTCATAAAAACGTATTGGTACTTAATATATGTCATATTTTCTCTACTTTAGGGTTAATCTTTGACAAACCGACATCGTTCTGGGACAATATTAATAGCTCATTAAAAGTACCTTATTTTAAAAATAATTTTACCAATTTAATTTTAATAAATTTATATAATAGATGCAATCCGTTATACAGTTTTCGAATAAGGTGTGAGACTGTTGCATGAAATATTTTGTCCCAATTTTACAAAATAATGTAATGCCGGGATATCTTGTAAAACTGCAATTTCCTTATTTATACATACATTCCTAACTTACACAATGACATTGACACCATTTCGTGGGAACTTATTAAACATATTTTTACACATGACGAAATGTATCTTCCGCTAGATTATTGATATGTATCTGGTTTTGTATCTCGAAGTTACACACAAAATAAAAAAAAATATAATTAGCTTACCTGATATATCTTTCAATCCTGCGATTTTTTCAGCGGAACTAAACACCACCAACAGGGTGAACAAAAACCAAACGGAAGTACGCACGTACATTTTTCTAAACAGTGGTAATTTAGAAAAAAAAATGAGAACCCGCGTCTTTTGAGTTCGATCGGTACCTGTCGGTAAAGTAAACTAACTATACATACTTCTTGTATCTATAAAACCCATGGTGGGAAAGTTAATACATGCTGTAGAAACTGAAAGTGGTCAGTGCGAGAGAATATCTTTACAGCATTCGTTTGATAGTTTACCGGTTAAATTAATTATTTTTTGGAGAAATCTTTAGTTGTTCGCTGACATCTTTATTTTCGATTTAATAATTCATACCTTAAATAAATGATAAAATATGTAAATGTATTAGATAATTAAGTGGTTTTTTAATTTATTTTTTTCTTCAAATCCTTCTAGCCTTTCTGCAGTCAGATTGTGATTTTCTCTCTTTCTCTTACCAGTATTTTTATTTCATATTTCCTATGTTTTCAAGCGTAAGGAATTCCGACTTGTAACTCGGAATTTCGACACACAACTCGGAATTCCGATTTGTAACTCGGAATTCCGACTTGTAACTCGGAATCCCGACATTTCGAGTTATAAGTCGCAATTCCAATTCAGAAAATTGTGACTCTTGATATTAAAAAACTTGATATAGAGCACATTTACACAGGAAAACAATAACTACAATATGACCAGAAATATACAGTACTGAAGCGAAAATATACAGGGTGGTGCATCCTATACACGTCGGTCTCTGTAGGGAAAACGACTTTATATTTGAATTTTTTTCTTAATAGTGATATACAGGGCGATTACCACTACATTATACAGGGTGACCCAAAAATAGGAATTTATATCAAAATTATTGTAACGATAGTCTAATTTATTTATAGTTTATTTATTTAAAACACACTATTTACAATTTATTTATGACGTACTATTTAATTTATATAATACTTAGACACTAACTAACAATTCTAATTTATTTATTACACTTTAACTTTTCATTCCAATACTCTATACTATACTAAACTATATACAACTGACTTCCGTCTTCGTACTCGCAATATTTATATCAAGTAAACTCTGTAACCAGAATACTCTAGACGGTGTGGAATATCCTAGACTTACATCTCTATGACTCAACGTCACGTACCTACCGCTTGTTCTGGTATATTCGAGAAGCGTCTGATTGTCTCTATATTGCCAGCGCGCTGCTAGACTCCATACCGCGGGAATAAACAACAGACATTGTTTTTTTTTAAGGGAACACCTTATATTTGATGGTGTCTTTTGATTCCCCGGAATAAATAAAGTAAAGTTTCTGTAATGTTTCCTTTTACCTATCTTTTTTCGTTTTTGAAACATTTAAAGGATTCTTAATTTGTAAGCTTGAACAACATAATCTAGTATGTCGCGATTATTTAAAACACATCAACAGTCACCTGCGATATGCGTAGCCAAGATATTAGACTATCGAATAAAATGCAAATTTTTGCATTACATCATACAGGGTGTTCATTTAATCTAATTGAATTCAACTTACATATGGAGTTGAATAATATTCTTATTTTAAATGGCACACCCTGTATTTAATAACTTAAACTGATAGACATTTAAATTATCTTTCATTCCATATAAGATTTCCCTATACCTAAATTCAACCCCTATACCTAAATTCAACGGTTTTTTAGTAAATATCTATTTGTATGTTTAACATAGCTAATTTTTGTAAATACTCTTTCCCGTCAAAGTGACCATTGAATTTAAATGTCAAATGCAAGTTTGACATTTCTATTTAGTAAGTTAGATATCAAATGAACGAAAAATCGAATTTGAAACATGAAAACTTATTCTAAAGCAGAGAGAATTGATATGATACTTATTCTTGGTGAGTGTCATGAAAACTGTTTATTGGCTTGTAGAGTTTACGGCCAAAAATATCCAGATCGAGAGAAACCTGACAGACGTGCTTTTGAAAGATTACTACAACAGTTTAAAGTTAGCGGAAACGTAGATTATAAAAAAATTATTCAGGCTCAACCTATTGTAGGAGATCATGATAATGAATTTTGGGTTATTGGCTCACTAATAGAAAACCCACACACAAGTCATCGGGCTATTAGTAGAGAAACTGGAATAAGTAGAAGTATTGGACGAATAATAAAAAAAACATAAATTTCATCCTTATAAGATACAGCTGCACCAAGAACTGTATCAAAGGGACTTTCAACAAAGAATCGATTTTTGTTTATGGGTTATATAAAGTAGACTGAGATGCGGATTTTTTGATAATGTTCTGTTTTCCGACGAGTGTACGTTTCATAATAATGGACTCATTAATCGCCATAACTTTCATTATTATAGTGATGAATATCCTCACGTCTTTCGTACTCTCGATCATCAGAATAGGTGGTCCTTGAATGTGTGGCGAGGAATATTAGGTTTACATGTTATTGGTCCTTATTTTTTTACCGGTCATCTTAATGGCAGAAAATTTCTAAAATTTTTTCAGAGAAAATTATCTGGGCTCCTTGATAATGTACCTTTAAATACTAGGCAGAAAATGTGGATGCAGTTGGATGAAGCCCCCGCACATTTTCAACTTCGAGTACGGCGATACTTAAACCGGCGTTTTGTTAATAAATGGATCGGAAAAGGTGGTCCACATAATTGGCCTCCAAGATCTCCAGACTTGACGTCGTTGGATTTTTTTATGGGGACACATACAAAGTATAGTTTATAACACCCCACCAACTACTCCGGATGATATAAAAGCTAGAATAAGAGCTGCTTTTCAGACAGTAACTGAAGAAATTCTTCTCAAAGTGAAACGATCCTTTGAAAAACGAGTTCAGTTGTGTTTAGAACAAGATGGGCGTCACTTTGAACATTTTTTATAATTTATTTTTTGTTTTATTTTCAATTTGTTTCTTACTCTTTTTCATTTGTGTGTAGTTTTCAAATAATTCAAATTTTCTTGTCATTAAATGTTGTTTTTATTAAAAAAATTATAGTTATGGTTTACATTGAAACTATTAAACATTGAAAAGTGATAAAAATGTTTATTTCGTTCAATACCATGTTTTGAGTGATATTTGCTCTATGGTTACTATGATTAAAAAATAATATGATAAAATCCGTATGTTAAAAATAAAAAACAGCTATTTACTAAAGATCCATCGAATTTGGATATAGGGAAATCTTATATGGAATGAAAGATAATTTAAATGTCTATCAGTTTATGTTATTATTATTAAATACAGGATGTGCCATTTAAAATACGAATATTATACAACTCCATATGTAAGTCGAATTCAATTAGACTAAATGAGCACCCTGTATGATGTAATGGAAAAATTTGCATTTTATTCGATAGTCTAATATCTTGGCTACGCATATCGTAGGTGACTGTTGATGTGTTTTTAATAACCGTGACATACTGGGTTATGTTGTATAAGCTTACAAAATAAGAATCCTTTAAATGTTTCAAAAACGAAAAGAGATAGGTATAGGAAACATTACAGAAACTTTATTTTTTCCGTGGAATCAAAAGACACCATCAAATATAGAGTGTTCCCTTTAAAAAAACATAACTATGATATAAATTCCTATTTTTGGGTCACCCTGTATAATCCAAATTAATTTGTTAGTGTTAATGGCCCTGTATATCCCTATTAAGAAAAAAATTCAAATTTTAAGTATTTTTCCCTACAGAGACCGACGCGTATAGGATGCGCCACCCTGTATATATTGCTCACCTATAAATATTAACAGATTTAACAAAAATTACAAAGTTAGCGTCTATTATAATAGCCAATGACCAGGGCCGACAAGAAGGGGGGGCAGCTGGGACTAAGTCCCGGGGCCCGGGCTCAAATGGGGACTAGGCAGCGGTATAAGGGGGGCCCGGCAACCGTGGCGAGGATTTTCTTTTTATTTCAGAAGTTCGGCACAAGAGGGGGAAAGTTTTAGCTTGAGGACCTTTTTTTTAGAGAAATTTTAGTAAGGATGAGGAGAAATTTTTTATAAAATTGTTACGGGGCCCGATCTGGAGAATTGTCCTGGGGCCCGACCTGGCTCTCGGCGGCCCTGCCAATGACATGCTCTGTATGTCCACCATTATGTTGGACGCTTAGCTTAAGACGGTCTTGGACGTTTTGTAATGTTGGATCCATTATTTCTGCCAAACTCGTATGAGCGATTATAACCTTTACATATAAAAAATTTTTGTTTGGCTGTAAGCTTCTTGTGCCCAGATAGTGTTGTATACCATGACAGATAACAAGTTAGTGTTTTTTTAAAATATTGATCTGGCAACCTGGTGATACGACATGTGTCAGCGCCTTAGAATGTAAGCGCAAAGTGGGACCGGTCCCCCGCTATTGTGAGTGCAATTTGTCAATTTAATAGGTTATCTTTTTAAGTATGTTCGAGTTCTTCAAAAATACATTGAGAACTATCAGAGGACTAGTTGACCAGTGGACAGTTTAATAGTTGTATGCGACGAATAATTTGGAATTGAACTGTTCCACTGGTTCTCGGATGGTTTGCATCGAGTTTTAAAGAAACTCGAACAAACCCTTTATAATGTCATTAATGTAATTATATTTAATTTTTATTTGTGCTAGAACGATTTTTGAGTGTTAAAAACTTTATAAAATGAGTAATACCTAGATGTTTAATTAGTTCCTGCACTAAAAATACTCGTTTAAGTAAAAAATGGGCTGAAATAACCTTTTATACATTAATATAAAAATTATCAAATATTGTACAAAACGCAAATTTGTATAAAAGGTGTAAAAGTGTGCTTTTAAAAATACAAAAAATTATTAAATAATAAATTTCCGAAAAATTCTGAAAATTAAAAAGCGTGGTTACAATTTGTATACAGGCATAACCGGGGACATTATCAATTTAGCTCGATTGAGTATGTAAAAAACACATTAATATTTAGACGAGATTTTAGATATTATACTGTTCAGTTTAGAAGTGAATACATTGGTATACAAATATATTTTCTTGCGGGTTTTATCTATTCGAAAATATTCAATTGTCTTTTAGAAAAATCGTTTAATGGAAAATTTCCTATTAATCGATTATTTTCTTTCACTTGATTATTTTTCGATTATTCGAATATTTTATATTAATCTATTATTTTCTATCAATCGATTATTTTTCGATTATTCGAATA